TACAGAATCTATGAATAATGAGGATTGACTGTAATTAAAGTATTTTTAACTAATGAAGAAATATTATGCCACCATAATCATGCACCAAACAACTGATATATTTTTTAAATAAATGTACAGTAATTGAATGATAAATTCTGGTTAAACACAGAATTGTTAGTTACTATTTAAATATATCTTAGTTATCCATTTTAACCAGATAATACAATCTCAGGATTTTAAGCATTCATGACTGCTGATATGCTGCTTATTGTCATTTAATAGGAAGTCTCAGTTAATAATGAATAAAGAAGCTTTCAACTTACATTTTTACTATATATATTTTTTTCTCAGAGCCTAGAACACTGCCTGGCACATAATAGGTTCTTAGTAAATGTTAAATTAACATCAAGTAAATAGTGAACTGTAGGTCTGCTATAGAGCTACAGGTAGAAGCTGAGACTCTCAACTTTCATTTCAGTGATACTGTTGTCAATATCATCACATCATCACCATTTACCATGTTTGGGGGGCACTTAATATGTGCCAAGTACCATGCTAAGTGCTCTAAATATATCATCTAACTTAAACATTATATCAACTCTGTGCAGCCAGAATTTTGTAGGTGAGGAAACTTCAGTTACATTAACCTATCTGAGCTCCCAGAGCAACTAAGTGGCAGTTATGATTTGAACTCTGCCCAACAGAGCAGATAGAGCTGCCATCTTAACCTCGATACTATGTTGCCTCCCACATTATCTCTCCTTTTAGTTAGATACATCTTGGTGACGACATTTAAACTCCTAGATACAGCACTCCCTTTGGAATCTTGCAAAATCTTAAGTATTGTGTAGTAAAAAATGCACTGTAAGTCAAACAGCTAAGGTCTAAATGCTGATTCTAAGGTCTGAACTCTGAAAATTATAAAAAAATAAATGACTTGCCCAGTTTTTCCATATAAAAATACACTTTAAGTTATTATATGGAGTTAAAGATAAAATGCATGTAAAGCACTCAGCAGGACACCTGGCACAGAGCACTTAAAAGATAACATTCCCTTCCCCTAGGCTCATGAAACAGATGCAAATCAAGAACAGGAGAGCTATGTATATTGAAGATTTTCATCAAAATTACGACTGGGAGAGATGACCTTTTGAAATTATCTGGCTTTACTGCACCTGCTCAGAAGTAGTATATGTCATATACATAGCAGTATATGACTAACATAAAAGTCATAGATGAGAACAAATTTAGGGTAAAAAGGAAGTATGAATTTCAACTTTACTAAAATGCTAGCTGTTTTAAATTCCCTGGCCAACTGCTTCCACACTTTCTTACCTGATACTAGTGGTTTCTGTGTATTGAACAGCCATCAGCTGAGAATTTGAGCCCTGTTCCAGAGCACCCTGGTAGAGAAAAAAAAGTTTAATGTCATATAATGAAATCAGATGAAGGTCTTCCTATATTGACTCATTCTACATTCACATTTGCTAAACTTTCATTAAAGTATTCATATTCTGACATATTAAGTCCAAATAATTAAACACTAACAGAAATTAAATCTCTTTAGGTCACATTCTTGGCTGAGAGATGTGTCTTGTAGAGATTAAGACATTTAAGGCCCTTCTCATGAAGTTTAAAGAAAGAGCCCAAAAGCGTAGTCCAAGCACCATAAGTTTTATGACTAAGCTGTATAAGTAGTACTGAACATTTAACAACTTATACCTGACATTATTTTAATAATTACGTTGCCAATGACAAGTTCCTAAGACCTATGAAAAGTTCATAATGAAACAAGGTCCTATTGTTTACTGAGTTAAACACAAAGATCTTAGGCCTAAATACACTTATGGAATATGCCATCATTAAAGAG